ACAACTTGCAAGAAAAAGTTAATTCTAATAAATTTCCTATGTTTTCAAAATCTTAAATTTTTAGACACACCAAAGTTTTGCTCAATAATAAGGCTACAACCCTGATGATGCCATTTCAACATGTTTCTTGGTAACAAGGTTCTGGGTTAGCTCCCACATCAGTGATTCTCAACATGGTACACAAGAACACACTGGAGGTCATCCCAAAGCTAGGGAGCAATGGGAGATGGTAATGATGTGTATGTAGGGCCACTGCATGAGGCAACTGAACATTTCAGCAACAAAATTCCAATTCCAACATGTACTTGTTATACAAGCATGATTCTCTTCCCCCTATGCCTTCAATACCACTCCCCTCCCACCGTCCCCAATATCAAGTCCTCCCCAGCTTCATCAGCAGGGTCACTAGACAAGCTAAACATAAGAAACACACAAGACGAAATGCCAAGTAGGCAGCAACAGGTCCAGTGACAACTGAATAAAAATTTTTCAAGTAAAATTGGATGATTTTTTTATACACTCATCAAATTATCAAATATTCATCAGTAAAGGAAGAAAGATGGAGAAATTAAATGTAAAGAGATTGACTTCAGACTTTCCATATCCATAGACTGCCTCCTGATAAACTGACGCCTCTCTACTCTTTCCAATAAAACCCAATCAGACCTACTGGACCTACTTTCTCTGGCTTCACCTGACAGAAGTCAAGCTGGCTCCCAATGGGTTGAGCCCCGGATAGTCTGTAAGGAGAAAAATACAGAAAACTAGAATTCAGGAGAGAAGCAAAAAGGTCTATTTGTAGAAATATCTATTTGTCCAGATTCCAGTTTCCACAAAAGTTTGTTTGTTGATTGATTAAACAAAAATCTGAACACCTGCTATGTGCCAGGCACTGTTCTGGGTATTAGGAAGATACAGCTGTAGAAAAAAAAGACAAAATTCCTGGCCTTCATAAAGCTTAAATTCTAAGAGAGAGACAGACATACATAAGGTGATTTCTGTTAAGAGTATTAGAAGGGGACTATTGCTGCGAAAAAAATTAAAATTGGGGGAAAGGGGCACAGGACAGGGCTCAAATTTGAGATGTAGCAGTCAGAGAAGCCTCACTGAGAAGGTGATGTGTGAGAAAAGACCTGAAGGAAGTAAATTAGCTAATCCCATCACCTACTGGAAACAACAAGTATGAAGGCTTGAGTCTTATCTGCAGATGAGAAAGGTAACTAGAGTGGCTGGAGTGAAAGAGTGAGGCTGAAAGCAAAAGATGAGGTCAGAGGAAAACTGTGTGTGTGTGTGCATGTGCATGTGTGTGCACACGCACGCGCGCCCCTGTAAATAAAAATGGGGAAAGGGGGTACGGGACATAGAGCAGAGAGCACCTATAAAATTGGCTTTTCCTCTGAGTAACACAAGGAATCACTGGGGGATTCTGAGCAGAGTTTTAGAAGAGCAGCCCCTACGCAGAGAACAGTGTGTAAAGGAGGACAAGGACAAAGGGGATCATGGCGTGGACCAGAGTGGTGAGAGGTGGCCAGATTCTGAATATATTTTGAAGACAGAGTCAGTAAGAATGGAGTGTTAAGAGAAAAAGAGGAATATCAAGGATGACCAAGGCTTTTGCGCACAGCAAATAAAACAGTAACTTGTGAATATGAAAATGAATATACATATGTTCATGTATGACTGAAGCATTATGCTGTACACCAGAAATTGGCACATTGTAAACTGACTAATTTTAATAAAAATACATATATACAAAAATGATAACTTGCCATAGACAAAGATGGAGTGAGAGAACAGATTTGAGAAGAGACCTGTTCAGTTGTAGCCTGAGTTTGAAATGAGTTTGAAATATTAATATCCAAGGGAAGATGTTGTATAGACAACTGGATATAAAAGTCTATGGTTCAGGAATACAAGAAGTTATTACACACATTTAATTTGGGATTCTTATCTGACCCTGGATCTTGGGATCATGAATTTAAATGTTCTTCTAAAGAGTAACTGATTCAATACAACAGCGAAACTAAAGTGGTGTGTTAGGTAGTGCTGCCCTATTCTCTAGGGACATTAGCGTTTATCCAGACTATGATTTGTGCCAATGTGACCTCCCAGAAAATAACCTGGCACCACGCTGTAGACATTCCAGAGACAACTGCACACTTAAATTCACACCTCTGCCTTTACTGTTTCGGCTCCCCTTCCCAGATCCCACTTTTACTGGCGTCAGGTTTTGGCACTGCTGTCCCCAACGTCCTCTCACCACATAACATAATATGACTTTTGTGAAACTTACACCCAGCAGTCATGTAAAAGATACTTGCTTAAAAATGTTGAAGCTCTATCTTACTTTCGCCTCCTCAATACTGAATCTTCCTCATTCCCATTTTACTAGCTACAAAGCTGGCCTGAGGTTAAGATTTTTTTTCTCAATTTCAAATAGGAAACTCTCACATTTCATACTTAGTGTATATACTTTGGGGATGATTTTTTTAGTACACGTGCTGCCAAAGTGAGCACTGAGATGGTTTTTTTTTTAATGTCTAACATCAATAAACCATAATATACCACATCTAATGAAACCTGGAGCACATAAGGCAGGCAGTAAGGAGAAGTAAAGATTAATTTTCAATACATGTGGGCTTCTGTTAGTTAAGCAAATATAATATAAACAATTAAAACAAAGTTTTTAACATATCTCAGTGATGTTTACAAATCAGGATATAACTACCCAATATAGACAGGTCCGTTATCTTTCATACAACAGTCCGGAACCATGTTATGTAGTGCACAGTCAAAAATATTTGCTAACAGGAAAGACATAATCCACATTACCAAGAATCAAATACAATCAATCCTTGGCCCTAAGAACCTAAAACTCTGGAGTATATGGGAACAGGGACTTAATGACAAAAACTGTTCTGCAAATGAAACAGGCCAAATCTAATACTGCTCCTGCTAAGAAGAGTTCTTGTTCAGCTATTAACATGCAAAGAGGTACAAGAATGGTTATTCAAAAGAAGCAGATATATGGAAAGTAACAGCAGCACCAAGAAGACAGGTAGTCATAGCCAAGAAATAACAGGCATAAAGACAAAGTTATATTGATCAATCTAACTCGCGTGTGTCAAAGAGAAAAAATATTTCAAATTAGGCGTTCTTATCATAAGATCTACTAACTTCAACAGTGAACCTCTGATTCCTGAAAGATTCTATGACCCCAAAAGAGGTTAAGAATCACTGCCATGTAGTTCTTACCATCTATAAACTTACACATACTAAACACCACTTTGTAGTTAATGAATACATAGTACACTACTGCCTGCAAAAATGATTTTAAGAGTGTTCCAAAAGGCATACAGGTAATTAAAGGACAAACACACCCAGATACAAAAGATCACATAACGTAAGATTCCATTTATATGGAGTATCTAGAACAGGTATATCCACTGAAACAGAAAGCAGACTAGTGACTATCAGGGACTCAGGGTAGGAGAGAATGTGGAGTAAGTGCTTAAATGGGTACAGGGTTTCCTTTTGGGGTGATGAAAATGTTTCAGAACTAGACACGATGGTGGTTATGTAATACTGTGACTGCACTTAAATATCACTGAATTGTTCACTTTCAAAATGGTGAATTTTATGTTATGTTAATTTGACCTCAATTTCTAAAAATTTGTAATAAACAAACCCTTTTGTATCTCCTGCTTTAAAAAAAAAAAAAGACATTCACACCATATGTGGTACCCCAATTTGGGGAGAGAGGAAAAATATCAGTGGGATGTAATGGTCCAACACAGCAAAGACAGCTCAGTGCGCTTTCATCCCTTGTCCTCAGAATAGGAGGAAATTGGAGCTAACAGTTACTAAGTGCCTACTGTGTTTGGTGTTCAGAAATCAACTGGGACAATTTTTTTTCTGCCAGGACAAAACTAAAATAAAAAACTGAGATTTCTTGAAATCTACTCTTAAGACTTGCAGTTTCATATAGTTATGTATTCCATATTCTTAGGGCTATAGCAGGGAGCTAAACAAAAAGAATTAGCACTAGAAAAAACATATACATACAGCTAAACTATGTTTAAGAGTTAGCTGTTGTTCCATACAATATTTAACTTTAATAGTCACTCAAAATTTTTCTTTACTGAATTGAATGTCAAAGCAAGCACCCCATCCAAATAATTTAAACCATACAATCCAAATAGCTAATGACTAAGAAAGAAAGAAAGAAAGAAAGAAAGAAAGAAAGAAAGAAAGAAAGAAAGAAAGAAAGAAAGAAAGAAAGTCAGCTCAGTCAAGTAACTGCTTTCGTGAATTATATCACAAATAATTAACTCACAATGTCAGTAACTGGAGAAAACCCTGCTCTCATAACATGTCTCTGTCCCTTAACAGCTCTGAGCCAGTAATTGGGACCAATATCCAGAATTTCCTTAGGAAAGCACTAAAACACAAAACACACAAATCATAATTTGTACTATGGAATCAGCTGGCCACGTGAAATCAGTTTCATTAAGTTTGCAAATATTCACTACATGACATTCATGCTAAATTAACATGAATATTTTCAAGGTCAATGTTATGTTGGTTCAACTCCTTGGAGTCACACATTTTTGTGATATTTTTAACATCTGACTAAAGCATCTATCATCACAAGATGCTCATACTGTTTACCAACACTCTGAAGCAGCAGCTGGTGTTCCTCAGTCACTTGTTATAATAAACAGAGTAGTAGTTTTAAACTCCAGGTATATATTTTACTACTGATACGTAAAAATTCTGCTTTAACTTCAAAGTGTTTCTCCCTAAAGATGGAGAGACACATGCACAACGAAATGTGAGGCAATTTAGGACAAAGTTATGACAAGATCAGAAATAGAGATTCTTATGCATGCATACTGGGAGGATAACAATCATGCTGAATGAACTAAATGCTAAATAATACTGACCCTCCTTGTACCTTGTATCTTCTCCCATTCCATTCAGAAAATGCAAAAACTTACCCACACAAGCACTGAGGAATAGCCAATCAGTCTTTTTCATTCTGTTTTTAATTTGTTTTAGTTTTTTGAAGTCCACTTCAAGTTCCTCCTTGCTGCCAACAGCACCAGCCAATTCAATCCTCTGAAAATCCATTTTCATCTCAGAGTCCCGTTTCGTAGTAGGTGGTGATCTTCTTTGGCTGTTACCACTGCTACAGCTTCCTCTCCATCGAGCCCTGTCTTGCTCATTTATTATTGAAGAAGCCTCTTCAGTCTCTGCCAACTCGATTGCTTCAATATTATTAGGTCTGGGATGATCGCAAACAACACATTTTTTAGCCTTGGCCCAGTTTTCATATGTGCAAATAGAACAAGTCCAATGCTGGGTCCTTGTGTTCAGTTTATTTCGATCATTGTATTCCTCGCACGGATCAACAGAAAAAGCAACTGGTCTTGAACCAGATCCTGAGGATTGAGGAGATTCTGTGGGACTCCTGGTCCTACGCTGGGATAAGCACTGAGTGCATCTGATTGCTCTTGGCCAGTTCAAATATGTGCACATGTGGCATGACCATTTATTTGCATTTTCTATGCTGTACGAAGACTTAACCCTTGGTCGTGCACTAGAGTCTGGACATATCAAAGGACTACTGCCCCCTTCGGTGCTGGAAGGATCCCAATCTCTACCAACATCACTTGAACCACTTTTAAATGGATCTTCTGTAATAATTGTTCCACTAGGTCTTTGGGCACGGCACATAGTACACTTGATTGCAGATGGCCAGTTTTCATACGTACAATATTCACAAGCCCACTTGATTCCACGTTCTGACATTGTGCACTTCTTGAAGTGAGTTATGTCAGGCAGGAAGCTATAAATAATTAGGACATGGTTATTAAAACAGTAACTACATAATCTCACCTCTGAAAATATGCCCAAAATATAAAAGTACCCTTCAACTTATAAAACATCAATTTCTCAAAAGATGCAAGGAACATTTCATACTGAACTACTCTTTTCTTAAAATTTCCGGAGATATCAGAGATAAGTTCTCAAAGAAAAATCTTAGACCTGTGGATTTAATGAAAAACTTACTTTAGAGTGTGAGAGATAGGTAGAAGATAAAGGGAGGTTTGTTCCAAGAGGAAAGGCAGTTAAATCAGGAAGGCTCTAATAGAAACATTAAATTTCAGCCAGGTCATCATCATCAATTTAGAAAAATAACCAATAGTTTAAAAAGATTCGCAGGGAAAGGACAAAACACAAATCAAACATCTTAAACACATAATCATCCTAAAATTATGAGCAACATAGATGATTATGCTATCTAGGTAGAGTACCACAATGTTTGATTCCCTAAAGAATTCAGAAGATCAAACGAAGCCAATTCTTAATTCTATCATTCTTGCTAAGGGAGAAAAGCAGCCTGAAAGTGCTAATTATCCAGTGCTTTGAATAAGCACAAGTAGCTTACAATTAACAAAGTAACACTGTGAAACAGGGATAAAGTTCCTTGATGGCCTATACTCTCAAAATCTCGTCCTGTCTAGAGTACGAAAAAGAAAAACTGCACATCACCTATACTTGGGGCAAACAATCGACAGAACTAGCGTAATCACTCCAATATAATTTTGAATATTTATACTCAAAATACTCAATATTTAAAATGTACTAAAAATTCAATGCATATTAAAAATGTATTCACTATTTAAAAGGCTCCTAAGAGCCACCCTGGGCTTTACTAAGACTATACTACAATGAAGACTTTAACATTTGATGACAACTAATTTATAATGAAGCAACTTACATAGCAAATTTAATAACGGTTTTATTTAATGGCTTCAATTTAGACACTGGCCACTAAAGTGAGACTCCATTTTCTTAAATCCCTTCTCAACTGAATTAGTATCATCCTGCTATCTGTACTCAGAAAAGTGAAAGAAATCCTAGGCAGAGTAATAGAAGCTTTTCCTTCTCTTCCTCAGGGAATTTTCCTGAACCTGGAAAGCAGAATCTTTCACTTTATAAGTGTATAATTAGGTCCTTGCTTGCCAAGTCCTCTGTTTATAGTGTAAACTGTGTTAAGAGGACAAACTATAAGAAAGGCTACTGTTTAATAGCTAAAATAAAAATCACACTTACTAAGATTTTAGTTTCCATGCTATAACCTCCACCTTGCACATGTTAGGATAAAAGTACAGTTTATAAATCAGACCAAAGACCAGATTCAGGCTTCATGCTGGCTCAGATTCTGACTTCCTCAGGAGGTACTGCAAAACGTGGTAAGTGGTGCTGTGTAACTGTGAATAGCTTATTCCTGTAAAGGAGACCAAAACTGGATTTCACTTGAAGCCTGCTACTTTATCCAAAAGCATTTATTTTTTTAAAAGGCTTTATTTTAATAAATTCTCTATTTTAACTCTACTCATTTATTTTAATAATGGACTACTATATTTGGAATTTTAATTTAACACAGCAATAAAATTAGTTAACTGATTTGGCTGGTCAGAGATAGGAAAGGCATTTTTCCCTAAAACCTTAAACATATGTGTATATGCACTAATATCATCATTAATATTAACTTGGTAGGACTAATAAGTCAATTTCTACCTGTATTACTTGTTATTACTGAAAGGGGAAAGGTGGTATAAGCCAAGTAAATAGAAAAAGCAAAAAACATTGCTTGTATTTAGCTTTGAAATATTTTTCTCCTTCAGCAACTGTATTTTCTTCTAACCAGGTAATTTATATTTATCTTGCTTAGATTTTTAAATTTAGTTTGTGCGCCCTGATTACACATAATCTGACAGCAATCCAAAAGTGTGCTTAAGGGCAAAGACTATAATAATAAACACATCCATAAAATGCACAACTGAGATTTAATGGCAACTTTCATATTCAATAGGCAGTTTCTTCCTTTAGCTTCTCAGAAATGAAATATAAATAAATTACCTGCTCATGCTATTAGAAATTAAAATAAGTAAAAACTTATCATGACAAGAACAAATGACATAATGAACATATTCAGGGCTATACTACAAGTAATTTCAATATTTCACTTAAAATATTGACATTCAGAAATTCATGCTTGCTTTCTTATGTCTTACTTTGATGTAGGTTCAACTAAACAGTTTGTGGCCTTACATTATCTTAGCTAATCTTCATGGAATTACTGTGCCAGGATAAGCTAGTTAAGTGAAGGTCTGACCAAAAAAACCAGCAAAAAAAAAAAAAAAAAAAAAAATCCTGCCACTTAAAAATAAAGAATCACTGTCATACATGCCTGGTAAATACCCTACCCTTCCCCCCACCAAAAAAAAAAAAATCCAGGTAGCTAAGCAATATCAAAATCAAGCTCAAGTGTTTTAAGGTAAGTACATTGTAAGGGGGGAGGGTACAGCTCAAGTGGTAGAGTGCATGCCTGGCATGTACAAGGTCCTGGGTTCAATCCCCAGTACCTCCTCCAAAATAAATAAATAAGTAAATAAACCTAATTACCTCCCTCCCACAACCAAAAAAAAAAAAAAAACAGAAAAGATAAGTGCATTATATTTGATAATGATGTATGTAGTATCCACTCAATGGGGAAATTGAGACTTCGTAGGAATACTGTTTTTCATAACTGAAAGCTAAAATTCATTGAAGGGGATTATCTGAGAGAGCCACCTTCACCTACGGTAATTACTGAATGGAATGGAAGAGTAAAGGTAACATCAATTATGTGATTTTGCATTATTGAGATGAAATTAACACTAAGTACACTTTTTCTATCAGATGTCAAAACATCCGAAAAACATGAAATTTTTAACAGCAACCAGCTTTGAGTTAATATTATACACTGAAATAAAACTGTTACCAAGTATCTTGCAAATTAACACACATTCTTACACCCAAGTAAATTTAACTTATAAGTCTAATTTTGCATAAAATACAGATTTCCAAATTCTATCCAGTGAATCATATTTCAATTATTCAATACACAAAGCAACAATAAAACCTGTAAATACGAATCTTCTTTAAGGGGAACTAGACACAACTATTACTCTTAAAACAAATTACTTCATGGTTCAAATGCAATATTCCTTGGTTCAACTGCAATACCAGCAGTTGCGATCTTGTAGACCAAAAAGTCCATGAATCTATTTGCACATCAAGCTCTACTTGTAGACAGACTGAGTAACGTCTCCAAGTATATCAGCCACTTTCCAGTATTAAATTCACAACTGCTTTGGATTATATACTTTCCAATTCAAACAACAAAGGCACAGGTATTACAGTGTTTGGATTGATAGCTGGGGAAAGGGAAAGGTTCATAACGGAGTATTTTTTATATTTGCATGCTTAATAATGAACTCTTTAGGCCATATTTATGAAACATTACTAAACACTGTAGAAGAAACGTATCTATATTTAAGTCAATTCCTCAAAATTATAGCTATACTACAAATTCCCTCAATGACCTACTAAAACCCTCTGGAGAACTAAGGAATGATCCTCACCAAGTAAAAACTCCTTAAGAAACAAACTGAGAAAAGCTCAACTGCCAGTTAGTGTCAAATGATAAGAAGTTATCCAAAGGAAGGACTGATATCTCTGAGGTTTTGTATTAGCTTTATTAATATGTCTGTATTTAGTAATACATTAACTTATTAATACAAATTATTGATATAAATATTAAACAACATAAATCTGGAGATTTACAAATGCTCAGAAAGCATCTTAAGGGAATCATGATGAAAGCTAAAACTAGAAGGATATTCCAAGCATGCTAAATTTTCAGATTCTATTAAAATATTACAAGTTAATTCTGAGTTGTAATATTTATATAAATAAAAAGTACTGCACTTAACTCTTAAGCCAAAAATCCCACATAGTCATTTCCTCTTTTCTCCTCAGCATCTTTCTGTATCACTGTCTTCCTCACACCAGTCAACTGAAAAAACAACTGGTCTTGAGGATAATGGTGAACCCTGTATCTACAAACCTACCTCATTTCAGGGCTCCAATAGCTTATCACATTCTACATTAAACCTCTTATCTTCCTCCCACAACAAACCCCTACCCTGACTTCTCCAGTTCCCATTAAGGACACCGTTAATACTCCTGCACGCAGCACAGAAACTCAGGCTCATCTTGAATTCTGCCTTCTCCCCAAAGATTCTCTCTAATGGTTTCTGTCCAATCAGCTCTTTTCTTTCCATTTCAGCTGCCATCAACCTTTTCTCAGCTCAGGTCAGTACTACTGTAATAGCCTCCTAAGCGCCTTCTCTTTCTAAATCCATCCAACTCACCGCTACCAGAATAATCCTCCTAATAACAAGTTCCTCCTTCTAAAGCTCTGCTGTAACAGTATAAACTCTCAACTCCTTCCCATCACAGAAACACAGCACACACACCCTAGGCTCATTTGTGTACCACCACCCCTCCCTGATACACACATGAAGGCCTTAGAAACAAGCACAACAGACACATATCCTCACTTCTGGCATATCCTACCCATTCTTTAAGACTCAGTTCAAATCTCATTTCTCTTGTGAAGTTTTTTCAAATCACTTGAAGTACACTCCAAGCAACCACACTTCTACTGACATCTGGCACTTACTGTATCAACTCCTGAGGCTAGCTTCTGTACCACTGATTTGTGTGTTTTCCCTGCATCATTTCCTCCCCTCAGTTTTCAATCAGGTAGTCAAGCTTACAAAAACTCTGGCTCAGGGATTCTAGTGGCATGGAATGTGGACCAGCCCTAAATTTAGTGAAACTCAGAGAAGAGACCACGCCAAGTGACCTGAACAAAATAAACAGTGGAGCTCTTGAGCCACCTCAGGCAAAAAGGAGAAATTCTAGAGGACAGGGTCCATTCCTATGGCACGATCTCTTTGCCACTAATAACTAGGTGACAAGCCATAGGCACTCATGAACTGGTTAACTACGCAAGTCCTGTAGTATCAAGGACACTAGTCGGCAAACTTTTGTGATCATTAAATATCCTCTGAAAGTACTACATCTCTGTGAAATTATGTATAGATAATCAAGAATCAACAGGTCTTAAAAACATGCTGACTGTCCTCCCACTCACAGATCGCTGTTCTCTCTGTTATCTGTATCTAACAAAGAAATCTGAACTGAACATACTTGCTAAGGCCCTTTCCCAGGAATGCGTAGGCAAGATGGACATAATAAATCTAGTTAAAAATAGTTAAGTAACTATCATAGTGAACTTGGCCTTATTGGCACTATGCCTTAATTAACTAAGGCAATTACCAGTACAACCAATACATCTAATGTCATTCCAACCAAACCTAAGTCCTTAAAAATAACACAGAACATAAAGTTTATATTTCAGTAAGCCACCATTACATTAATTAGGAAAAACTGTAAGAAAAGTTACAATGCTAATGGTTTTCCTTTTAAACCACTGGATAATTAGCAATCTACTGATTAGAATGAAAAAGATATACTGACACAAATCTCACATGAAACAACAGTAACGCTCTTTTTAAAAAATCTATCTTCTAGTCATTTCAAGAGGAATTGTAACTCTTTACATATTAAGGCTTTATCTGTAATTTGGCCAACTTCCCTCTGTACGCTTCAGTTCCTAGACAATACCAAGAAGAGGAGTAATAAATTCATATATACATATATGTACGTACATACACATATATGTGTGTATGTGTGTGTGCAAATAACCAGATAAAATATTTTCCTTCTGCTCAGGACACCTGCAATTTAAATAGATGAGAGATGACTACAGTTTTCTCAAACACAGATGGAAGTGGGGAGATTATCTCCAAGAGTGCATATCAACCCAGCATTTAAAATACAACAACTGTTGCAAGAGCTGTGAACATACTACCTCATTCAGAATTTGATTTCTTTCATTACCCTATCCATTCTCTGTTCACACTGAACAGATCAGTCCCAATTAACAATATCCACAGGAACTGAGAATCACTACTAAACCTAGCCCAACTAAAGGCCATCATTTACTGTGCACTGTTATGTTATCTGCGTGACAGAAGAAGGAGGCGTTCAAAACTTTTAATCAGTGAGTTCTGATATAAAAGAAAGAAAAGAATTGAAAAGCAGAGAGAACCAAATGAATGAAATATTCCAAGGCAAAACCAACTCAGAGCTAGTATCTTGTCCAAAAACATCTCTTTCCCAACACAACTTTGTTCAAGATTGTCATTTTGCCTTACTTCCAATCATAAAAGTTATCTGAATAAAACACTTACTTTATAAATATAAGATATTTACAAATATTATTTATTGATAATGTGAAGTCACTCAATTGGATCACTTTTCTAGTAATTCC